TTACAAGATGATCCATTTCTTAATATGGTACACTGCATCTATTTTAAAGATACATCTTTCACTTCTGGTCCCAAACATTTTGATTTTGGATCTGGAGGTTAGTGATCTCTTACATGAGCATCTCTCACCATCTCATAGTTCAGCGTCCACACTAGAAGTTGCTTCTGGAGTGAAAACTTTCTAAAGACAGTAGAACTTGTGATCAAAAGAGTAGGCAGTGGATACACTCTGGGGACGGGGTTGAATGTCACCCTTCGGCCTTGGACGTGAGCAGAGTGGGAGGGCTGTCCGAGCCTGGGCCTTCAATTATGAGAGCACCCAGCTTGTCTTCACCCGACTGAGTAACTCATCCAAGATGAGGACCAAGATGAGGATGAGGTCCAGAAGGAGAAGCAGGGCAGCAGCCTACTGTGGGCTCTGCATGCAACTAGCACTGAGTACACGCCTGCTAAAGGAATGAGTTATTCACAGAAAACCCACCAGCATTGTTGGACCTTGCCTCTTAGCTATCTTAGCTTTTCTGAACAGGCCTCCACACTCTGGTTGCCTGTGATGTGTGCTTGGTTTATTCCTCTCTGTGTATTTCATCCTTTATGTCTTTAAAGACCAAGTGGCAAGGTAGTGTAGTAGAAAGAATGTGGCTTTAAAATCAAGATAGATTTAATTTCAAATCCCAGCTCTAGTATGTGCTAGTTGTCTTGGACAAGTTCTTTAATCTCTTATATCCATTTATAAGAGATGCTGCTGTAAAGTTTAATTAATGCTTGTAAATGCTTAGCACAATGTGTGGCAAGGAAGGATTCTCTTCAGGCATTTGTACAGACCATACCAAATGAATCTGATGGAGTGAAATATGCTACAGATCTCCTATGGTAAGCAAAATATTGGAAGCGGTCTAAATTTCTAACAAAAGAACAGTTAGATAAATTGCAGAGTATATGATAGAAGAGCCCTCTCTTTATGGCACAATGTATTGTGTAATCCAAATGTCAGTTGTGGTTATCCTTTGAGAGCCAAAAATTGGCTTCAACTGTATCCCACATATGTGGGAAGTTCCAAGGGACAATCCCATGAGGATGTGGTGGTGGGCTCTGGTTATATTTCTCTATACACCTCTGTTGCTTCACTGACTCTTCAGTTTATGAATTACCTTGCTTTACTGTCTGCATGCACTTTCCTCACTAATTACAGCACACTGAATCCTGCTCCCTTCCTTTTACTCCCCCAAACAACGCTGATACAAAGCTCTGGGCACAAGGAAGAGGATTTACATTTTAGCACCAGTCTAGAACAGTGCTTTTCCCCTCCTGCCACCAGGGGGTCCTTTCATGAGCTTCCTCTCTGGAGGCTCCAGCATCCAGAGACTGTGCCATGTTGCTTGGCCCCCTTTTCTCTTTTCTGTTGCTCAGTGTCCCTACCCTTGATTGTCTGCTAACTTTCTCTGCACAAGACGGAATTTGGGGTCTCACTTTCTAGACACATCTATCAAGGTATCTTCCGAAATAAGTGTAGTTTTGCCTCTAAGAGCACATTGGCGTTATCGTAATTTTGCATGTTTATGTATCTGGCTCCACAGGCTGACTCGGAGCTCTTTTAGGGCAGGAAGCTAAGCTGGATCTAAGCCTTGGGAGGTGGAACTATAGTGGTTAAGAATCCACGAGCTGGAGCTAAATTGCCTGGGTCCAAATACTGGTTCTACCACTTACCAGGTAGGTAACCATCTTAGGAAATGGGTTGTAGGGAGGACTGCAATAACATGACAGAGTTAACGAACTGAACGCAGAGTCTCAGGCACACACTGGGAGCTCAGCAAAAGCCTGCATTAATTACTCCTGGATGGATTCTTTGCTGTCAGTCTGCAGTAACTAGCTTCATGCATGGTGACATTTGTCGTTCCAAGCTGGGAAGAGGCCTTTGGTGAGACTGAGTAATCCAGTTTCCTGATGTCAAAGGATAAAGTATCAGTGTTCAGACAATCTTTTTTCCTTGATGAGATTGTGTTCAAATATCTGGACACAATAAAGGAAACTTTTACTTAACCAGGCTGGGGAGAAGAGTGGGACAGAGATCAGTAATTTTGTCTAAAGAGTAAGAGGCCACAGAACCGTCGTAGGCATCCCTTCTCACTACTGTCCACTTAAACTGAAGATTCACTTTGGGTCTTTTTTCTTTTTCTATATTCAGAACAAAACAAGAGAAGTTTAAAAATTCTTTATTTGAATTTTAGACAAAGAAGAAGTATTGTATTATAAAGACTTGCTTGAAAGCATGAAATAGTCTGTTGTCATTGTTTCTTTATGTATTGCAAACCAACGTAAACATTAAGGGAGAGAACGGTAGATCTTTCCTCCTCATCTTTAACCCATTCTTAATTTAGCATGGATACAATCTTAGAAAGAAAGTCCTGCTGAAATGGCATCTTTAACACTCTCTCCTTGGGTTCTAATGGCTCCGTGGGTGAAGCACTATGCTCTTAGCCTAACCATACTTGCCCACATGACAAGAACAAGAAACCAGTGTCTCTAAGGCCAGACGTGCATAGTCGTTTTCATCTAAAGCTCAATTTCCTCATCATCTCTTATCCAGATGACTGACCTGGAAATTAGGGCTCAGTGTGAGTTAAAATGGTTTCTGGTGTGGAAGTCAATTTGCTAATCTCTATCTGGGATTATCATGCTGGGGGACATGCCAAGCCTCCTGGTTTGTTTATTTAACTGATGGTCACCAAGTTCATTGGGGCAAGTGGCAAAACAGCGTGGTGTTTGTTGACCTTGGCAAATGATAAACTATGATTTATTTACTCCTTGGTTCCCCAATCTAATATAATTAAAAACCTTTGAATGTGCTAAATCTTTATTGCTTAAAGTTAGCAAGCCAGTATGTTGAGAATGGTGTCTACTATTTGACAGTGACTAGCCATGACACGATTCATACACAGAACTGAATTTCCTATCAAGAAACCTTTGTCATCCTTCTTTTCATAAATTCTGACAGATAACCTGGCAGAGAACACAGACATTAGAACAAACTGCTGAAAGTTCTAGTCTTATCCAAAATAAACTTTAAGATTAGTCATTAAAAATCTAAGTTAACAGCATACACTCTGATTTCTTTTTCAGGTAGGAGAAAACTGCATTTCTTTTATGTGCATAGTTCCATTTGGACTCCAGCCAGATCTTTTTGGGTAGTCCAGGAATCTGTTTCCTAGAAAATTAAAAATCAACCACAACCCCTACGGGTAGCAGAAAACGGGAATTGCCCGTGCCCCATCCCCCAAATGTTATTAGGGGTAGGAATGAAAATTTCTCACATTTCGTTCTTTTTCTTTTAGGCTTTGTTCTTGTTTTGTTTTTGTTTTTGTTTTTTTTGGAGGAAGATTAGCCCTCAGCTAACTACTGCCAGTCCTCCTCTTTTTGCTGAGGAAGCCTGGCTCTGAGCTAACATCCGTGCCCATCTTCCTCTAGTTTATACGTGGGACCCCTACCACAGCATGGCTGCCAAGCAGTGCCATGTCCGCACCCGGGATTCAAACCAGCAAACCCTGGCCGCCGAGAAGCGAACGTGCGAACTTAACCGCTGCGCCACCAGGCCGGCGCCACTTTGTTCTTGTTTTTAAGGCAAAAGTTATCATTAGTATTCACATTAGCAACAAAGATCTTAATTTCTGTAAATTAAAATGACTCGAGACGGACAAAAATCACATCTTGGTAAAGAATGAGGGTCCATAGGTATTAACAAGCGTTTATCAGTTCTGGCAAAAAGCAATGTTATTTGAGAGGTTAATTTGTAAGAAATGGCCAGCAGGATGAAAGGTCTCATCTGAAGTTCAGTTCCTTCAAAGGAAGGAAGCCAGGCCGGCCCATTGGGATGCAGTGGAAAGAGGGCTTTCATGGGTGGGAAATTTCCACGAAGTCAGACTGAGAGGAAGTCTCGCTCTGGCTCTTCAGTAAAAGTGGTTACTTCTAATAGGTAGTTCAAAGTGGAAGTCACTTGAAACCTTGCAATGTATTTAGAAAGTCAAATACAAAGAGAAGTTTTTCCCTGTGATATTTTTCTGTCAACCTAAGCTTAGTAAAATGGCAAGAATCACAAAATAGTACAAAAGTCACCAAGAGCTTGAGATTTCTCCAGTTTTAATCATTCTAAATGCCACAGCAGCAGTATCTTGTCGGAGCCTCACTGCCTTGACTACTGGGGATCCACGCCCAGGAGGAACATTCAAGCCAGGAAGGTTTAATCAGGACGGTGTCTCTTTAAAAATGACAGAAAAATCAGTTTGAATCCCAAGTTCCTTGTCTGTTTCTAAGTGATGTTTATTCAGAACACTCAAGAATGACTCATATAACATTGCTGCTTTCAAATACCTCCGTGGCTACTTTTTGCTAACAAAAAAAAAGCCAAAGAAATGCCAGCATTGTGCTGCAGCTTGTAGTCATTTAACAAAAAAATTAGAAGATGCTCTGAGCTTTTATAATCATAGGGTTTTTTTTACTTGTGAACACACAAATACCCAATAATCTAAGGTCAAGTTTCTAAACTACAAGCATGGCAAGCAATACATTTGTCTCAAGACCGATCCTTTTACAAATCCTAACTTTAGAAGGAGGCCATTTACACTACATTCTAATGGAGCTGCGTCCCTGTTCTGCTGGCTGAGTTGCCCAAGGGCAAGAAGCCCCTGACATCTGACTCAATAGTTAGCACCAGGAAACATCCACTTCCATTAAGCCTAAAACTTGGGAATCGCAACCAGGCAGAAGAACTGTCTCCAGCAGTCTCCACCATCACTTCCCGAGACAGCAGTAATGGCGGCCCGAAGGGCACAGAGTCATCTAATAGCAGACTGGCCTCCTCCATGAGTTTATCTAATTTTCTCACAAGCTTGCAAAATCTCACTTAAAAATGTAATAAATTAAAATAATATATATATATATACACCCACACACATATCCCCCATAATTCCTGGCTGCAATCCCCAAAAGGCAATCTCACAAAAAAAATTAAGCCAAAACACCAGTTTATTTTATTTAAGCCAGCATAGCAACTTTCCATTTCCTGAAGGGCCTTCTGCTGCAGACAGACACTAAAAGTAAAAACTACTATTGTGCCCAGGGATTAAGAATAGCTTTGATAACAAGTAAAAAAGTCGAATACTTCTTCATACTTGTTAGTTGCCTCTCACTCATTTCCCGAACCCTTACCCTGAGGAGACTCCTGTTCCCTCATCTCAGAGAGATCAGTTCTGAACAGGTAACAACAAGAAGCGGAAGGGGCAGCGAGTGCACAGAGAAGGCTCGGCTTCCAGACGGCTTTGACGGTCACTTCACAGGCACTCTGAACGTTGTGACGGGGGCACCTGCCTGCTCTTCAGTCATGACTCCTTCCTCACTCGCCCACATTTCACCCGTCAGAGAGGCATGAAGGTCGGCTAACACAGCTGCAGCCTTCAGTCTGACACGTTGGTAAAATGAGCACAGGAAAAGCGGGGAATAGAGGGATCAAGGAAAATCAAGGTGCTAAAAATAAGTCCATGTGATGGTTTGTTCCTGTGGGATTCAGTGCAAAGGAGAGGAAGGAAGCACCATATATAATCACTCCATGCATAAAGTGTTTGTATCTACTGTTAGAACTACGACGCTCCAGTAGAAGATTAGCAGCTTGAGAAGGACCATGTCGCCACTGCCTACTAGCCCCGGTCACAGCCTCCTGCTGGGCTAATTCAAACAGCATGGGAAGGGGGCAGGGCCAGGAGAAGATGCTCCAGGAGAAGACTGCCCTGTAATCTAAAGGTCGTCTACACATTTGCCTTCCATTCTTTGGCCCCATTAGAAGTAAGATGGTCCCCAGGGAAAATGGTTCTTGCGTGAACATCACCCAGGATGGCCGAATCAGGGAGAGAGCTGCACTGACTGACAACAGTCTGTACAAGAGGTTAGAAAAGAGGAAGGCTAATTAATGCTGGCAGCTGCAGATTCCCAGGCAACAGAGCGTTAGAGCCCCCTGCGTCCCTCACAAAAGTTAAACTGATTTCCTAGGAAAGCATCTAACTAGCTTGGGCAGAGAGGCATCACTACCCAGAGTTAGAAGGGTCAGTGATTCTTTGAAATCATTTAGAAGCCATGCCTAATTTCACAGGCAGAAAACTACCCAGCTGCGTGTAATCCTTCAGGAGTTGAGATAATTTCTCTTTCCTTTTCTTGCAAGAAGGAAGACACTGATATAGTGTGAAATGGAGTGGAAGAAATCTGACAGAGGCAAGTCAATTAGGGTAAGAAGCAGTGTTTGCAGAATGCGTTCTATTGAGAAACTGAACAGTTTCACAGGAGGGGCAGAAGGACTCACTTTAGAAACTGAAGGTAGAAACTGGAGAGAAGAAGGGAGTCAAAGTACAGGAAAAAGTAAGTGAATACAGTAGTGTTTTCTGTGTTTTTTTTACCATGGAAGGACAAAAGAGTTAATCCCTTCTCTGTTTTCTCACTGGACAAACTGAGAATTATTGCCATATTATGGGATGTATTCCCCCAGCAGAAATCCAAGCTTGCTTGTCTGCATAGTCTTAAGGAATAAATTCTTGTCAATTTTCAAGATAAAAAGCTCTTTTTGCTTAGTCTAAAGTTACCTACGTGTTCCTTAAGTGAATTTGGTATCATCATATTAATAGAAGGTGTGTAGTGGGTGGGGATTCACAATAAAAATGAAGCATTTGTCCTGTGCACCAGATTAGCAGAGAGAAGACATAAGTACGTGGGCTAATAGGCAGTGGCCTCGAGTCCTCAACATAAACGGCAGCTGTGGCTTTAATCCTAAGCTGCAGTTGCATTAAACTTCCAAGGCTTTACATATTTGTATTAATAGAGCTATCTCCTCTTTCAAAGCCCCATCACTGACCCTTCTCTTCTGTTTCAGTCTCTCAAATTTGCTACCCACCCCCTGACCTCCAACATAGTTATCCATGCGCAGTGTCAGGTGTGAACTGCAAATCCCAAGTAAAGATAAACTTTACCAAATGGGAATTTTCCCTTTACCTAAAGCTCCAAATTGTTTTGACTGTTTTGGGGATGTTTTTGGCCCTTCTGGTTTTGAAATTTGTTATCCAATAAGCACAATATCCACAATGGGTTTGCATTAAATTAATGAAAAATCTAATCAGTGGAAACGCCTGTGTGCTGTTAGCTGTAAATAAGAATCTCTTTACTGTCTCAATAAGTGAAATGGCAGAGAGGGGAAGAGGAGCTTATTTGAAAGAAGATGACTATTTAAACACAAAACAAATATAGAGGGAAAAGCAATTTAAAAAGGTACAGACAAAATCCACGCCAGGACACACTGGAAGATGCAGGGCTGCATTTACCAGTGGAGAAATGCTGTTCCCCTTACATCAGAATTCCAGTGCTTTCCAAGTAGATGGGCAGATGATGAAAAACAGAGCAGCTTCTTTTTCTCCCTTTCTATCCCTTGAACTCTGTTGTGAGGCAGTCCTCTGCTTGCCACCCAGAAGGCGGAAGGAAGCATTTCTCTCACCCATTCTCCAATTTGGCAGGTCCCACTCTTAGTTTTCCAACGTAGCCCCAGGGTACTATTGTAATGACTCAGGGATGGTGCTGACAACGTGGGCTGCCTCCGTGGCTGCTGGAGGAGAACCAAAGAAGGTGTTGGTTTGATTCCTCTGCTGATCTCGGAGGTAAGGAGGAACTGACGAGCTTTTGATGTGGAGGATCCTGGTGTCCATCACCTGACAGTCAATCTGCATCATCACTTCGTAATCCTGCCCATTGATCACATTCTCTGCAGGGAGGAATACACACAAGCAATAAATATTCAACAGAACGTGCAACACTGCCATAAGCTTCAATGGCAGAAAGACAGAAATGAGCTTTAAGGGTGTGAACTGTCAATACGCTTTCAAGGGTGCAGAGGGACTTCATCAGCCACTAGGCAGAGCTATAGTTGGGCTGGGGGCTGGGATGGCCTGTCCTCTCCTCAATTCTAGTTCTCAAATAATCTTCATTGGCTCAATAAGGGCTGAAGCCACTGTCAGAGTTAATATCGTAGAGTATTTGTCCACAGACATTATGTCTTGTATGCCTTCCATGCAGTATATCACCATGACGGGAACAACTGGAAGAGAAGGAGATTTTAGTGCAGGTCGGGGGAAGAGTACCTAAGCCCTCCCCTTCCCCTTCAACACTGGGAAGGAATAATTGTCAAAAGGACCAATATATCATGTAAATGGTCAGGAGACTTTTTTTGGCCAACACTGCTTGGCTCCTATTCATCAGTAATATTTCTAATTTCATTGAGAGATTCCCAGCTATGAATTTAAGGGTTTGCCTTAGGAGCATAAAGTACAGTGAAGACTGACAATTAGAGACATCTGACATCTCTGGCTTATTCCTAGAGATCACGATCACTTCCCTTCCACACTAAGGCAATCTTTAGTTCCAGAGTTCTTGATTCCAGATACAAAGAGACAGTACATTTCCAATTGGGATTAGACGGAGTGCCAGAGGACTTGCAGGTAAACTAGAGGCTATTGCAGAAGGGAACAGGAAAACCATAGAGAGCCATGCTTGACGTGTATGGGGTAACTTATTATGAGTTTAAAATACACAGACACATACTACACTCCATTCTTACTTCCTAAGAGGAGGAAAGCTCTTTATTTTAGGGAGAGGGGCAAATTATTTTCTGATTGGTAATTCTGGGGTGTCATTTCCAACTTGGAGTCAATGAAACTTGAGCATAAAACTGATGAGAGAAGTATAAATAGACAATACTTTTCAAACCCAGCTGGACATTCAGAGCAACACAGTGAGAAGATGTGTGAACTTGGAAGAATGCTGGGTAGTCAACGTGGCATCTCAGTTTGCATTTTCATCTGCGGATCTGGAGCTGGGTGTGGGGACCGGGAAGAGTGACTGCTGGCAGAGGCCTAGTCCTGTGCTGCTTTTTTGTGAAGATGATACAGAGCCAACCAGTGATTTTTAAAATTAAACACTTGGCTTCTCCAGGACAAAGAATTGAACTTAAAAGTAGAATTCTTTCTATTCCTTTTTTTTTCTTTTTACTTCAACACTGTGCATGCCAAGTGTTATAAATCTAGAGGAAGAAAATCCAAAGTTTGACATCTGATCTTCAGATTCCATTGATATGTTTGGGCAAACTGAGACATGGATTGTCACTTATGAAGCTGGGAAAGACTTATAGAGATCATCTAACCCAGGATGTCTTAAATTAGGGTCTAATGCACAGACTTCAGGGGGTCCATAAGTTCCCTAAAATTGCATGCAAAGTTTTATTTGTGTGTGCGTTTTTCTGCAGAGGGGCTCCATCAGATTTTCACTGGGGTCTAAACCCCCCCAAAATTAAAACTATTATATCTAATAATCTATCAACTTTAAGAGGCTTAAGCAGATGATATATTCTATTTTAAAGCCAATGAAAGACATCATTCCTCCACTTCCAGTGGTTGGTTATCTGTTGCAATTTTTAAAATAGTATCCATTGATGATGAATTTTTTATTCCAAGTCTTACAGATCTCTTCCATTACAGTGGAAGCTAATTTTCTTCTTTCTCATACTTACTAGAAGAACAGCTGGTTTCTGCTGTGTATTGACTAATCCTACCTATTCTTTAAGACCATCGCCATGGAAACTTAACTCCAATTTTACAAGTCCTGCCACTTAGCAACGGCTATCAAATCATTTGCTTATCTTTAGAGAATTAAATCTGAATGCCTGTAAGTTAGCCATTGTTTCCCATCAAAGTGTTTTCTTTCCCAAAAAGTAGGAGATGGAAGAAAGACAACCTACTAATGTATTTGGAGTCATTCCATTCATAACACGTGACTGGGTTCAGATTTCAAGGTGCCACACCAATTATTTCCTTTTGGAACCACACTTCCTTCCCATTTTAGAAAAACTGAAAGATTGTGGAGTATGCGTATGTGCACGCGCACACTGGGACATAGACGACCAAATAATGGAAAACATATGTATTAGAGACATGTAATACACATTACTAATTTTTACTGCTTTCCTGGATTAACTTGGAATCCAGATGACAGTTTAAGATCAAGACTAGCTTTTCTTACATAGCCCAAACCACCTGCAGAAGTCATTAGAGTCCATGTGCCTGCTATGGGTCAAGCTGATAGCTGGAGTTCCTTAATACCTTAAATATCAAGAAGAGATGAAAAACCTGGGGACATAAGCTTAGATGCTTTGAGGGAAAATTAAAGCTGAGACCTGATTCCAAAACCAGGGAGTCCCCAGCCGTGGCTGAAACGACATTGTTATCTTAAGCCCAACCAGAATGAGACTCAAGTCAGGCACACTCTACATGCCTTTAAAATGGGTTCTCTCCTTCTCTCCTTTCTGAAGGTAACAATTTCTGGGCCAAGGAAATTATCAGCATTACTAGAGGAAGACTCTGCCAGATAGGATGTGAAAGGCTTCAACTGAATTCAGGAAGCCCCCTCTGAAGGACAAGCTGGATACTTCAGGATTTCAAGTGACATGCCAGTAGGGGTCCCAAGTTACCCGACACCTCTAAAAAACAATTAAAGCGGCTACAGCAATATTCTTTAGTCTGCTCTGTGGGATCTTCTAGAAGAGTTCTCTGGGTGTTTCAGTACTAACTCCCTTGGACAGTTAGTGAGGCGGTCGCAGCAGTACTGATGAGGTTCTAAGTGTTTCATTTAAAGGACAGACTGGGAAACAGCTGAGGATAACTCGTGATCTCTACTGGGCTGTCGCGCATCTGTTCACGCAGAACGCTTCCAGGAGCAGCATAGAGGCTCCGGACTCCTCTCGACTGGCAAAGGAAGCTCCTATTATCCTTTACTTTAAGGCTTTGAGCACGGTTAATCGGGCTGCACTCCTGATTTCTATTTACTCCTCAATTAGGTCTGCGCTGCTCCTTCACTGAAACCAATTAATATTAATTTCATTATAAAGTCCGTCTCCTATGTGCAGTATCGTGTGTTCGAATGGAAAGGACAACACTTTGAATTGTTGCCTATAATGTGCACCTCAGTGTGAATAAAAAATACCAGAGAGCAGGTTCTAACTGGAGAGATGAGAACCTGAAGACTCTGGTTGCTCAGGGAGGACAAGAGGAAGGGCCCCTGAAGGAAAGCACAGGCAGGACGTGAGAGGCTGAGGACGGACTGCACACTTTCAGGAAGGGCCAGGTCTGTGTGGTTAACGTGCGCGCTCTAGGAAAAAGAGAAAACATTACAGCTCACGGGTTTTCTGACAAGAGGAACATGGTGAACATCGGATTAGGGAGGTGTGAGAGCCGAGTTATGTGAAAAGACTGCTAAACTATTTTTGTGAACTTAATGAAAAAAGACCGTGACTATTTGGGAGAACTAGAACCAAAAGGAACAGAATGGAGAGAAAACGTTAAAGGCTCACTCTCCCTCTTTTATCAGCAAACATTTGGGTGTCGCACGAGTGATATAAATACTCTTATGTTCTGGGCCTTCTGAAGTAACAGAATGAGAGGAAACACTGATCTGAGTTGGGAAAAAGGTATAAAATACCAATACTTCAAATTCAAAATTAATCAGGCAAACAAAAAGAAAAAGAGATGAGTGGTTTCAAACACAAGCACTAAAATGGGATTCTGAATGCTTAGGAGGGCTGAGGAAGCAAGAAAAAGTGCCTGGACACTGGAGGCGGAAAAACTCTAGGCAATGTGGAATTCTGACCATCCCGTAAACACACAATAACTGAATTAAGAACGGCCTGCCAAGAGGCTGTTAGCTAGGAGACAACTAACACACACACCAGAACCTTGACCATATCAGAATGAAATATCCAAAAATGTTTCAAAAGTCACAAGTTTAATTTTAAAAAGTGACAACACTTCACTAGTACTTTGCAAAGAAGTATATACAATAAAACAGACTTCTATTCAGAATCAGACGCTAATCCTAACAAGAGATAGTTTGCTCTGTGTAAGCTAGGCGATAGGTGGTGACAGGCTGTCAGTATCTGTGCCTGAATCCAGTGGGATGTGGGGGGTGTGTGGGGGAGGCATGGAAGGTTGATAAAAATCCGCCCATTCATGGATCACAAGGGATACCTTCAACCAAAACAAACAAATGGAAAAATAAGGAAAGAAACCAAAAAGGGTAAGAAAGGGAAGACAAAGTTGTAGAAGGGAAAGTAAGGTGGAAATACAATGAACAATGAAGTGGTAAAATGTCACCTTGGGACAGTGCCTTTCAAGAACTTCTATACAACCTGACTCCACTATGCCTAGTCAATCTTCTCTCCAACTTTCAACCTGAGTCCTGGTTTGACCATCCCAACACACCATGCATTGTATCTCTGCTGGCATGTTTTCCTCGCTTAGAAAAAAAGCCCTTTCTGCTCTTCTCTACCTAGTCAAATTCTCTGTCCAGTCAAATTCTATTAATCTTTTAAGGCCCATTTCAAGTCTCACTTTAAGAAACCTCCCATGGGAAGTCAAATATTCATCTTTTTCTTTAGAATCAATATATAAATGTTCCATTTTATTGAATAATGTTAAAACACTTAAAGAAAAGAGGTTTGGCTCCTTTGAGAAACGCCTGGCGTTTCTGAAGCGGGGCGGGGGGGTACACAGGGCGGTGGAGAGAACTAGAACCTCTCCCTCATCAGCTGGGAAGAACACTGGGTGAATAAGTGACAGTCACACTGCAGATGGAAACAGTACGTGCCTCCAACTTGAAGAATCTCTCCAGAGACATAAGGGAGAACATGTGCAAGAGCAAAGGGCTCCTAGCAACCAC